CTTTGTGCATGCATAAGTTTCCAGTATATTGCATCTTCAAATAATTACGTTCTAAGATTAGAAAATGTTTGCGAGATCATTGTTCCTTGACATGGGCATGTTAGATACTTGCCTCAGTTTTATTAGTGTCTGAATATTTGAAAATCATATCACTGACATCCAGCACAAAAAAAAGAGAAAAAGAAGTTTATAAATCTCTAATTTGTAAGCATTACCCCATAGTTTGTCTTTTTTGTGAGGGTCACCGTAGAAGAAGTATTAAATTGGTTATATTCGAGTGGATACGTGTGTAAGTTTTGACCTAGGAGTTTTACTCAGCTAGATGCAGATTTGGTGGTACCAGATATAGTATCTCATAGCATTTCCATATCATTTAGATTGGAAATAGTGGCTACATTTATAGTAAATATTGGCATTCCACTTTTGCTAATGTGATCTTGTCTTTATCCATTTGATTGGGAAGCCTTATTAAAACTTTGAGAGGAGTTAATTCTTAGGTAGTGATCCGGGCTAGCTTCAGAGTGGTGGGTAGGGATAAGTAGTTGGAAAGTGGTGGAAGGTGGTGCCAATGAGGAGCAAAGCAGAAGGTTTGGGAATACAAGTTAGTTTGTTGAGTCAAAATGCAGGAATTGATAATGGTGGAAGTTAAAAGTGAAATTTCCAGAAATATGGAACCTGGAAATGATTTGGCCGAGAGAGAATACTTCTTGGAGCTCAGATGGAATGTTAACTTAAAATTATATACATCTTGAGAGGGAAACCATATGCCTGTAGAATATAGATAATGTAGCTGGAAAGTCTCAGTTTGTAGTTCTGAGAATAGGACATGTTTCTTTCCTGTAATATTTTTTATTTTGTTAAAAAATGCTAAATCTTATCTTTCAGAGTAGAGTTATTTATGCCTAAGCTTAACTACGATCATTGATCTTTTTTATATTTACTGGTTTCAAACTTATCATCACAAATGAATCTTTTTATGGTATTCTGAGTTTTGAATTTTATTGAAATTCATAGTAAAGGCAGCGAGTAAATCCTTAATGACCTGATATCCACGTGTTTAAGTTATACCGGTAAACTGCAGTTACCAGTTTAAGCATGCTGTTGCTCACAAAGAACATTGTTTGTTCAAAATGGGGCACCCGCTTCATTGTTCGGGTAAAAGTACCAAGAATAAAGCTATATACCTGATTTTTAAATTATATATGAAAAAAAAGTAAGGAAAGATGTTGAACCCTTTTCATTAAAGATGGGCATCATGATTCATGCAGGCGCAGAAGGCTGAGAGAGAAGCTACTGATCTTAAAGGCTCAATGAGGAAAAGAATGGAGTTTCTTGATTTGGACTAACACATGCTCCCTACATCCATTGTTCATGGCCCGCAAATTTTATGGCGGTATGTGGTGTAGGAAACATGATCAGATTAAACTTTCAGTCTCTCCACCTGATCATCCTCTTCTCTCTCAATTTGACTTGCTGTAACATGTGAATGTATTTCACAAGTTTTTAACAGTCATATATTGATGTTTGTGATTGTTATTCATTGTGTTAGAAGTTAATAGATTTACACCCAAATCTAGAAATGCTTATCATGATCCTTCTGCCCGAATCTGAAAGAACGGGAGTAAAATGCTTCTACCCTTCGCTCCTCACTTGTTCTATTTTGTTTTTTGACGAACTTGGGGAGTCAGAGGGGGGGTGGAAAAGAGCAAATAACAGTTTCTCCCTATTTTTGACCTATCCAATCTTCAACGAGGCAAAAACACAAAATTTCTTTTATGGTCTTGTTTACAAGATTAGCTTTTGAATCCATAATTAAACTTATCCCATTTCAGATCAACAGAAAAGAAAAAAGGTTTGTTGGAAAAAAAATTCTTCTATAATTTATTTTGGCGATAGAATCAAACTTATATTCAAAGGAAAAGTACCCTTTTTGACATGATTGAAAATATTGCTCGGTTGTGCTAGTTGCATTTATGCCCATTTCAAGTCTCAAAATTTTCCTAATATATCCAAGTGTCTCAAATTGCTTCAGACTAAGATGATAACAAAATTCAAGTTGAACTTTCACATCTTTAAATACTATGACATTTGAAAGAATGGATGTCAACTTGGAGAGAAGTGGGAAAAAATCTTGCATTTACTGTTGGTATCTTCTTCTTTTTACAGTATGTCTGAAAATCCAAAGACTAACTTGTTGTATGGGTATGTAAAATACAAAATTTCAAACCTTTTGCAGGAAAAGAAGAAAAAGGGACGCCCAATGTAAAGTGAATAAATAGAATTTGATACTCGATACAGATATATGTAGAATTTTGTATTGAATGAAAATTGTAAGAATGATTTATAAGGAGATTTACCAACAAAAAGTCAGTAAATAATTCTAGTCTTTTAAAAAGAAAATTGATTTTGGTTATTTTTTCCTTCTCTTTAAAAATTTGGTTGATAATTATTCTTTTGTAAAGGAGTCGGGGCTCAGGACAGCAAAAGGAGGTAATTATATTTTGGGCCCGTGAAATTTTTAAAATTCCCTTTTGCTCCAGGTCTAAATCTAATAGTGTCAAAGTTAGATGGGCCTATAAATGTAGTAGTTGGGCCGACAGCGTTTTATAATTTTTCAGTTTAATAACCCCACAAGCCACATCTGTCACTGTCTGATTGGAAAGAGAACAGATCCAACGGCTCAACTCTCTAAGTACACTTGCTAGAGTTCGCGTTCTCTCTCTCTCTCTCCGTTTGGCATCAGCAGATCCACACTTCATTCTCTCTCGCTTGCTCTCTACATTCTCGCTCTGAACTAGGATTTGCTCTTTATCTCTCAAAACCAATGATGTCTCAGCTGTACGAGTCAATACCAATGTTATTTCTACTACTACTACTTTACGCCTGCTCGTTTCTGTGTTTCACTGAAGCTTCAGTTCATGAGTACAGACGACACAGATTTACTAACAAAGGCAACGCGTTTGTTGTTCATGGAGGCAGCGAAGGAATTTATGCTTCTCTTCCTGATACTCTCAATGACACCGCCATTCCTTCAAATACTCACTCCTACATACGGTAATTTCACTTTATTCTGTCATTCTTCTCTAATTCTGCCCGTGTTTGCTTGATTTGCTTCTTTTTGAGGTAATTACTATTTACTCATTGAATATTGTATTAGTCGGGGCGTTTTTTTTTTTTTTGGTTGTATAATTTTGTTGGTTTTTTTTATTGTATAAAATTATGACTGCCGCAACTTTTGATTTTGCAGCTTAATCAATTAGAATCCTTTTCAATTTGAGTTTTTCTTCCTTGTTTATTACAGTAGGAAACCGTGAATTGGGTGAATCTTTTACTAATTTATATGCATTCTCTTATGCCATAACCAGTTTTGATAAGATTACATTTCGGAGGACCAAGGAGTCTGCTAATGTCAGCTCAGAGCGGATCCATGCCGTTGTTTTTGAAGTGGAAGACAGGGAGACCATAGGGGGTTCAGCATATGGGGGTCAAAGAGCTGTATGCTGCACAGCAGATCTTGCCAAACTTGGTGTATGTTTTCAAGGGGAAATCATTTACCGGCCTTCCACGAAGAGTCCTAGCTGGCCCAAAGTGTTTGGTGTCTCATTTGGTGTCAATGAGGAAGCTGCAACATTGGCATCGAAGTTTATACAAATCACTAAAACTGGGATGTACAACTTGTACTTCATCCACTGTGATGCAACTCTTAAAGATTTGGTCATAGAGGGGAAAACCATATGGAAAAATCCTACTGGTTACCTACCTGGCAGAATGGCACCGTTAATGAATTTCTACGGGTTCATGTCCCTTGCTTTTGTGATACTAGGAATCATTTGGTTCTCTCAGTATGCAAGATTTTGGAGAGAAGTCTTCCCATTACAGAATTGTATAACACTAGTGATAACGTTAGGCATGTTTGAGATGGCATTTTGGTACTTTGACTATGCAGAATTCAACGAGTCTGGAATTAGGCCAACGGGGATCACTATCTGGGCAGTTACTTTTGGTACAGTTAAGCGTACAGTCGCACGGATTATCATTCTGATGGTTTCAATGGGCTATGGTGTTGTTAGACCTACATTAGGTGGTTTGACATCTAAGGTGATCATGCTTGGGATGACCTTCTTTCTGGCCTCTGAAGTGCTTGAATTGCTTGAAAATGTTGGTGCAGTCAGTGATCTTTCAGGAAAAGCGAGATTGTTCTTGGTTCTTCCAGTGGCAATCTTGGATGCTTTCTTCATTATATGGATATTTACTTCACTTTCTGCAACTCTAAATAAGCTTCAGGTACCCACTTTGCATTCTCAAATTTGGCTAGCTCTTTTTTACGTTCTTTCTTTCTATTGACAAGGAAAAAGTAGAATTCTCTTTTCTTTGGATATAATTAAAAAATGCATTTCTTTTTTTCCCCAATTGGATATATGCAGTATAGCCATCTTTACCTTGATTACAGGCAAACCTTGCAAGTGCCGTCTTTTATGTTTGTATTTTGTTCTTAAGTAAACTTCTTGAACTACATCTAAATTATTTAAATAGGAGCTATACATTATTCCCCAAACAAAATAGATTTCTCAGATGGCATAACATCTGATTCAATGATTAAAAAATGTGCATCTATTCAGAAGATTTTTTCTGACAAAAAGTAATCAGTATTCATGCTGCTATGAATATAAATATTTTTTTGGAACTTTGAATTAAATGAAACTTACTAGGCTTTCTACTAAAAATAGTGGAAGTGGTTATACAAATAGGTAATCAATTGAATGTTGGTTAGACTGTCTACTTTCTGGGTGAATCTCTTTAATGAGATCCATCAACAATTATGTGGAAGCATTTGGATTCTTTTAAGCTTATTACACTGATCAGCAAGTGATGTTTAGGTTTTAGATCTTTACAATGTCTGTGTAAATGCATGACATAGGTTATGTACAAACAGCATTAGTACTGCACTAGGTTGTTTGTGTGCTGCCTACAAAAGAATGATTGAACAAAAACTAGAGTTTGATGGTGTTTTACTGGCATCGGTTGGATGAGGCTTACGGTGCATAAAAAAGAATCTGGAAGATGGATCTGATTGCTCCCCGTATGATCATTAAGAAAAAGCATTTTGCATGTGAAGGACTATAGCAGGTACCCTGAATCAAGGTACAAGGATCATGTTACTTTCAGTAACATATGAAGGACCATAGTGTATTTTAATCTGAATGTTATTCATATTAATACTTTAGAAAAATATTGATATCCATGGATTAAGAGCAGTTTCTTGTTCCATGATATCTGACATGCCCATGTGTGCACTTCATTATCTATGGAATTTTAGTGGTGAATTTAGGCTCTATGACTAGAACACTTAAAGTGTTTTGGTTTATGCTAGGGGTTTGGGTGGGTAATTGTGAGCTTGCAGTTGTTGATCTCATATTATTGCAACTCTATTTTTGCAAGGGGTTTTGTTGAGTAATCTTGCCCTTAAAGTTATTGTTTCTTGTAGCATTGCCACTCTATGTCTCTTATTTCTTTTATATTTTGACACTATCAGAACTTCAAACAAAAAAGATATGATAACCTTTTCCTCCAACTTGATCTAATAGGCAAGAAGAATGATGGTTAAGTTGGATATATACAGAAAGTTCACAAATGCTCTGGCAGTGGCTGTTATTGTTTCTGTCGGCTGGATATGCTATGAGGTAATCTGGCGCTGCATCACTGTCGGTAGAAATATTGAGGCTAATTTCCTTGCTGTCTTTTAACTTATTTTTTCATAAGCAAATTTAGTAATTTAGCCTTAATGATCTAGATATCACAACTATGTTTAGGCTTTCATTTTTCTCTTTTCTCGCAAGATAGTTGGGAAAGAATGATAAGTCAGTCTTTTAGATTTATTCTTTTTCTCATCCTTGTTCTAGTCTACGTTTTGTTTTACTTATTACACCTTTCATGATTTTCTACTTGCAGCTATATTTCAAGTCAAATGATGCTTACAATGAACAATGGCAGAAGGCTTGGGCCATCCCAGCCTTCTGGCAGGTGCTGTCTTTCTCTCTTCTTTGTGTTATCTGTGCTCTATGGGCCCCTTCTGGAAGCTCAATGAGGTAAAGGACATGACTCTCATTATCCTAGTTTGTTGAATCCAGGAATTATGGAGAGAGAGTACAAAACATGATGTTAGATGGATTGAAAACGAAAGAACATGGTAATTGAGAAATAAATTTGGGGAAAAAACTCGAACCAAATACAGAAATTGCATTGCTTCAAATGTGATAATGAAAAATCCAACTCAATGAGCTAATTTGTAATTGATTACTAGGATTCATATTTTGAATAGATCATAATTTTGTCGTTGGCTAGAATTCTAATTCTTACTTCCTCGTGTTTGACTTCCAGGTAGGTTAAAATGATTCAATAATAAAAATTATAGTTTCATTCTGTATGTGAAGGAAATCCTAGTGAGTAAAGAGAATAAAATAGGAATTTAATCAAACGGGGCTTCTTTAATAAATTTGAGTTAATTTTTAATTTCACACCACCATTAGCTCATGACATTTTTTTTGGTCTTCTGATGAAATAGGTATGCTTACTCTGGAGACCCAAATGAAGAGTTTGACAAGGATGATTATACATTGACGCTCATCAAACCATCTCCAATGCCTTCTAAGGAAGTTCGAAGTGCATCAGAAACCAGACCATTGCAAGACAGCAATGGAGAATCCAAAGGCGATTTAGAAGAAGACAAGAGAGAGTGAAGTAAAGATCATTCATTCTGTTATGACTAAAACTGGATTCACTCATCCTATTGTTTGATTGCTGTACCAGAGCCACATGAATATCAGTTTTCAGGGTAGCATCAGCTTTCTGTTTTGATTAATTGAGCGTATCAGCATTTTGGAGTCACAGGAGTCAATAGGAATGTTAAGTTTGTTTCTTTTTCCCTCTTCTTCTACCCCTTTTTCTAAAGGGTATCTTGTTTCTCTGTCTTTTTTTAATTTGGTTATTTAAATTGTTAGTGACCTGTTGTAAGAATATATACAAGTAAGCTTCATTAGCTTCCTTTCTTATACAAATATATATATATATATATTTATTACTTGTGTTGCTTAATCTCCCTATGCAAGTGAGAATAGGGAATTCCCTTGGAGCGGTTAGAATAGTTCTTCTTTGGAGTGCAGAATCCAACACATGGGGAGAGAGAGAGAGAGAGAGAGAGAGAGAGAGAGAGAGTCTTATCTAACTTAAAAGTCTTATTTCGTGCTATTGAAGTATTTTACATGTGCATTCAAATGAATAATTGATTTGAAATAGCTTCATAATCAAAATTTATCAACCACTCTTATGAATAATAGAGTTCTGCAGGCTCGAGTGAGTAGTCATTATTATTATTATTATTTTATGTAGAATGTTATATCAAATTTTTAACCTATTATAATTATTCTAACTGTATACATAAAAAAATATTTTTTAATTTATAAATATAATAAATTTACTTATATTTAATTTAATTTAATTATAATAGTTGGATAAATATAATGTTATTTATAAATTAATTATAGGTTCGTTGATAGTTAGTTTATAACTTAGTCATTGTTATTCTATAGTTTAACTACAAAATAATTGATTTTATATTTTTAGTAAATTTTAAATTTATAATTTTTAAAGAAATAATAATAATTTTAATTATTAGACTACTAAAATACTGATACGAAATCAACATTATTTAATCAATATTTAATGTGTTAGAAAAATTTGTGCTTCCGACATTGCCAACATGATTATTTTTCTTTATTGTTCTTTTCCCAATATAAGTTTTTTCCTTCCCTCCAAACGGCATTGCCACTTTTGTTGTATCTTGCTTAGAGTCTGAGTATTTTCTTTTTTTTTTTTTTTAACTTCTTTAAAGATTTTTTTTTTTTTTTTTTAACTTTGGGACAAATATTTGAATTTACAAATAGTAATGTCTATCTCTCTCACAAAAAAAAAAAAAAAATCATTTATAAATATTATCAAAAGATTCATTCATATCCAGTTTAGTTTCTCTTTCACTCCATAATAATCAAGATCAAATAAATATTTATTTTCTTTCTGTTGAACAAGAGTTTATTTCTAACTTCTCAGTGAATAATGATCAAGTGAGACACAAATTTTTTTAGTTTGAATTTTTCTCATTTTGTTAGTTTTTATAAATGTAATACCTACTCCCGAAATTTAGCTCGACATCAATTTTGACATTTATAATTAAAAAATTATTTTGTAAATTTTTTAAATTTAATTTAATTAAATTATTTGAGAAAAATAGGTTATGAACCTAATTGAAAGTAATTGGGGGAAAGTAGTGAAAATTTGAGTTCGGTGAGTGTTTTTGAAAGAAAAATTAGAAACAGACGATCAAAATACAAAAAGAAAAAATTCAGCTACGTGGGATGACTCAGTCATCAGCTACGACGAATCAAAGCACGTCGCGCAGCAAAACACGTTGATGTCGGCACCATATGGGCGATCCGCATGCCCAGCAATCCGACGCCCAGATTTAATTTTGTGCGCATGAATAACTCATATGCATTCTATCCTTATGCGCGATCAGACAGACGAGATCAATTGCGATGAACGGTTCAGATTCGTTCACGCAATCGGTCTAAACAGACAACGATCGGACGACTCTCCTTACTCCACATCGATACAGATGGACGGCCCAAATCAACGCGGGGTGAGTATATAAATATTGCATCGTAGGAGAACCCCAGCCCTAGTTGTTCTGCCCTCGTCGGAGAAGAAGGACCAGCCATTGGAGAATAAGACTGACTCCTAGCCGCCGCCGTCGCACCGGAACTACTGTTGACCGCCAAAAAAAGTAAAATTCTCCCCCACCCGCTCGGAATTTGATTCCGAGTCTCCCCATCGCCATATCAGAGTAAAAAAGGCAGCAGGTGTGGCAGAAACCGCGGGCAAAGCCTAGTTGAGCCACCACAGACGAAACCCTAAAATTCCTCCGATGAACTCCTTCTTGTTTCCTGTTTCACGCGATTTTTCAACTATTGTTGTATACTCGAAATTAATTTGTAAATTCAAATTTATGTATAAATTTATTTTATTTTATAATATATCTATATAAATAAAAAGTAG